ACGCGAGGTAGTTCACATCTCCTAGCCACCGTGATGCTGAGAGAGAGAGAGACACGCAAACTCCAAATATACAGCAGGCATCGTCAGGGTCGGGATCGAACCCATGACCTTCTGTATACCACGTGAGGTAGTTAACATCTCCTAGCCACCGTGATGATGAGAGAGAGAGACACGCAAACTCCAAATATACAGCAGGCATCGTCAGGGTCGGGATCGAACCCACGACCTCCTGGATACGAGGCGAGGTAGTTCACATCTCCTAGCCACCGTTGTCTCGGCCCCAAAGCAGAATTGTTCCAATATATGTTGCTATAATAGCCATGAGGGCCAGCAAGGAAAAAAAACAGCAATTGGCAAAACGTCTCCCAAGGGCCCCCCCAGTGTGTTCAGATTTCCCAACGTAAACGCCCGCTTGGGGAAGGCGTAAATATTTTGGCTACCTCACCCACCGCGCTCCCAAGATTATAAAAAAAAAGACACGCGGTGATTAATTGGTGCCCGAAAAAAGCAACTCCGAGAGAGAGAGAGAAACACAAAGAAGCCCATTCACTTGAGCTGTCCACTCCATGGGCTGTTAGTGATGGCACATTTGATTATTGTTTTTTGAAAGGGGGGGGGGGGTGGCATTAGCACCAGAAGCTGCCAACATAAAGGAAAGTTATGTAGTGAGTTCGTTTTTTATGAAAGTGTGGAAAGGGCCTCAAGTGTAGTGGCTTGTGCAACATTAAACAGAATCGATATAAATAAAGACCTTAATCGGTATGGCTCAAAAATCCTCTAGGGTACTTCGCGACAGGGTAGAAAGATGACATTTGGTACGTTGGTAGCTTTTAGGATACAAACAACAAGAACAATCTGAATCCGAGATTTGTCATTTTAAGGCCCTCAAATCTCGATTTTAAGTGCACCATGAACATGTTGGTGCCTGGTGTCATTCGGGAACTGTTCAAAATATAAGATTGCGGGGTTTTTTGTTTGATGCGTTAAACAGCGAATCATATTAAAGCGAAGACCATTGTTCTATCTTTTATTGTTTTTGAGATATTTGGGGTTCGAGTGGGTTAGAACGAAACAATCCGCATTTTATGATGCTCAAATTTTGAATAGTTAGAAAACGGTAAGAAATAAAAGAGCTTCCTCTTAAGAGTATTAAGTTAATGAATTTTTGTTCTTTCAAATAAAAAAAACTGACTCTTTCAATTGAGCGGTTTACGATTGGTACGTCTTTAAACATAAGACGTTGAGTCAAGTCGTCAACAATTTTAGTTTCGTGGAAAAATGCAAATTTTTGGAAGAGTTATTAGTGTCTGTTCGTAGATAACAAATTGGAAAACAGAGTTGTATCAGTAAATTTCGATTTAAAGCTTTCGTGACTGCAGGGATTCATCTTCTTGGTTCTTTCGGTAAAGTCACGTAGAATGGAAACAATAAAAATAATAAAAATAAAACATAATAAAATTATTCTTGTATCAGGTTCATTATCATATTTATTGCAGGATTTACGAACTAGTATAAATAAAAAAAACGGTGATTAAAACAGCGCGACACAATAAAATCTGCGCATAAAAGGCGGTAGCAATATACAACAGCACTTCATTTGTGTCAGGTTTTAGTCCCCATTGTGTGGTGGGAGGCTTAGTTGAAAAGGTGACATTCAAGGAGAATTGCCTGTGTTTATATTCTTAGGTTTTTTTCGGTAAAGTCACGTAGGTAAAAATTTTAAATTAATAAAAGTTAAATAAAAATATTTTTATTTTACTTTTATTAATTTTTATTTTAGTAAAATAAAAATATTTTTACTTAATAAAAGTAAAAAATATTTTTATTTTACTTTTATTAATAAATTTTTTTTACATACGTGACTTTACCGAAAAAACCTAAGAATATGAATCCTTGCAGTCACGAAAGCTTCAAATCTAGAATTGCCTGTGTACTTTTGATGATATTTTCTCCGCTATTGACAACCTTGCTAAGAAACTGCATCTACGGAGCGTAAAACAGGAATTCGTAATAGGTGACACCGTAAAACATCAAATTAGCGTACTTGTTTTTTTAAATCCTTTATATTAAGTTCACTTGCGCGCTTGCTTGCTTGCTTACGACCGTGCAAATCTTTCGGTCGTTTTTTAACCCACTTCCCGCGATCCAATCGAGCTGACATTTTCCACACAGACTCGTTGTGCGTGACAATTTATTTTCGTGAAAAAATTCTTTTTCTAAATTTTACACTTTTTAGGACAAAAATATTATATTTAATTACCAATTGCTTAATTCTGGCATGCAATCATCTGACCCATAGGTGGCAGCCATCTCAAGCCAGAGGACGAGAGGACTCTAGCCGCCACGCATATAAAGGATTTATAGTGAACAACTTAGTTTTTACGGGTTATACTTGTTACGGGTTATACTTGTTTCTTCTATTCTTGTAATTTGCGAGTGTTAACAACTGTTTTTGGATTCGGATCGCGAGGGTAAGTTACAGTTCATCGGCTACCCGTCAAATTCCGAGTGGATTTTAAGATGCTGCTATTAACCAATTATAGGCTTTGAAAGGGCTGACCACCACACATTACTAGTAGTAACCAATACATTTATATATTCCATCAAGGTCCTTAGGATCTTCTTATCTCTAACTGCTCAGCACTCCCAGGTCTACAGATTGCACTCTTTTGGCGATCGGGCTTTTATGAGCGTGTCACCCAAGCCACGGAAACGCTTTGCCACTTGAAACCAGGGAAATCGGAGCAATCAGTCGGCAGATACATTTCAAGTCTGCTTTGAAAACCCCATCTCTTTAAAGTGGCCTTCCCTCTTTAGATTACTCGGTTGCCCCTGGTTATGTTTTCATGTCCCTGCTTTCCATGCCAATGCGCATTGGGTTCTTAGGATGGAATGCGCGTTCTAAATTTGAATTATTATGAAAGTTACGCCGCGTTCAAAAAAGGCATTCCGGACCCCCGATCCAGGTCCGTTTCATGCCAATTTACCAGAGGGCTCTTGATTCATTGCACACTTTACATTTGTATTATACTGGTAGGAACCTCCTGGTTACACCAGCCCACAGGGGATTATTGTGTCCGTCGTGCAGGGAGGGGCTGGGTGGGGAGGGAGGGGCTGGGTAGGAGGGGAGGGTGGGGAGGGGCTGGGTGGGGAGGGGAGGGTGGGGAGGGGCTGGGTTGGGAGGGTGAGGCTGGGTGAGGAGGGGAGGGTGGGGCTGGGTGGGGAGGGGAGGGGCTGGGTGGGGAGGGGCTGGGTGGGGAGGGTGGGGAGGGGCTGGGTTGGGAGGGTGGGGCTGGGTGGGGAGGGGAGGGTGGGGAGGGTGGGGCTGGGTGGGGAGGGGCTGGGTGGGGAGGGGCAGGGTGGGGAGGGTGGGGAGGGGCTGGGTGGGTAGAGGCTGGTCACCCCGTGGTGCCCTTATAAAACTCAACGTTTAACCTACTCACGCCGGCTTGTGCCCGCCCTCACAGTTGGGCATATTTGCGGAATACACCACGCCGCCGTTGACCCTGCAGGCCATTGACCGAGCAACCCAACGTTCCTACCAGCTCCCTCCGCAGGAGAATGTGTTAACAGGTAAGGCCCCACTGAGTTACCATGGCACTGCAAATCGGCCGTCACACCGGGTAGCTACAGCGTTGATGCACGACTCTCAGATGCTCCACCTCCTCCTCCGGTATTATCGGTGGCTTGACCACCTCAACGTGAAACTGTCGTGGTCACTACGTAGGGCTGTCATTTGTGAGGTCCAGATCGCGTCTGAAAGAAGGCTACGTAGTTCAGGATTTAGAGAAATTTTCACTGAAGCCACAGGTCCTGAACTCCTTAGTGATAATTCTAGATTTTAACTGCAAGGATTCATATTCTTAGGTTTTTTTTCCCCCGGTAAAGTCACGTAGGTAAAACATTAAAATTAATAAAAGTAAAATAAAATAAAAATCACGACGTTTCGGAGGCAACACAAGCTTCCGTCTTCAGGTGGAACCGTCACAGCCACGACAGCTGTATCAAGTAAATGAGAGATTACAGGAGCTACCACTCCAACCATTATATAATGGTTGAGGGGGGGGGGGGAAGGGGCAGGGATGGCCCACTCTTTATTATTATGGTGATAGTGGATCTTGACACACAGACACGGAGTTCTAGATTTGAAGTTTTCGTGACTGCAAGGACCCATGCTTTTTGTTTTTTTCGGTAAAGTCTAAACAACTCTCTTTATTCGCTACAGTAATTTTGCTGTGGCGGTTCCACCCGAAGACGGATGCTTGTGTTGCCTCCGAAACGTCGGGATTTAATTTAGTTGTTTTCATTTTAATTTATTACATTTTTTACCTACGTGACTTTAACGTATGGACACGAAGTTAGTTGCGTGGTATTCTTAGGTTTTTTCGGTAAAGTCACGTAGGTAAAAAAATTTAATTAATAAAAGTAAAATAAAATAAAAATCACGACGTTTCGGAGGCAACACAAGCTTCCGTCTTCAGGTGGAACAGTCACAGCACGAAAGCTGTATCAAGATACAGCTTTTTAAAATCCTTTATATTAAGTTCGCTTGCTTGCTTACGACCGTGCAAATCTTTCGGTCGTTTTTTAACCCACTTCCCATGATCCAATCGAGCTGACATTTTGCACACAGACTCGTTGTGCGAGACAATTAATGTTCGTGAAAATTTTTTTCCAAAATTTTACACTGTTTAGGGAAAACAAATTAAATATTTAATTACCAATTGCTTAATACTGGCAGACAATCATCTGACCCATAGGTGGCAGCCATCTCAAGCCAGAGGACGAGAGGACTCTAGCCGCCACGCATATAAAGGATTTATAGTGAAAAACTTTGTTTTTACGGGTTAATTTTTTACCTACGTGACTTTACCGAAAAAACCTAAGAATATGAATCCTTGCAGTCACGAAAGCTTCAAATCTAGAATTAGTTGAGTGGCTCACTCCAACATTAAGCCACGCCAGCCACCGCCATGAAATTTACACTTTCAACACATCGCAAACGTTCAACAAAAATCTTTTTTATTCAGGAACCCAGAACGCGTACATCACAGAGAAGAGACGCAACTTATGATGTTTGTTTCGTTTTAACATCAATCAACCTGGACAAAGCACAATCTCTCACAACCGCTTAAAACATGTACGACATACACCTAAAAAGAAGGTAACTCTCACTGATGCACCATTTCTGAGTGTCTGGTCGACAGACTGGGGCATCAACCCCCCCGCCTCTCTCCTGAGAAGACCATTCACCCTCGACCATTCCGATGATGCAAGCGTGTACGTCACCAGCGAGGCCGTGCGGCACGGTACAGCGCCGGCGGTCGCATCGCCGGAGTTCTCTGCGGTGAGTAACGACGTCTTTAAGAAATTAACCCGTAAAAATGCGTGGCATCGGTTTTATTTTATTATTCGTTTCAGTTTTTCTTGAGTAAGAGTTTTTATTTTTAGAAGAACAGGTCTGTCGGAAAGACAACGTCTCATTCAGACGATGTCTTTCCGACAAACCTGTTCTTCACCTGAGGACGGCTGCTTGCGTTGTGGCCGAAACGTCGTGAGAATTATTTTATTGTTTTATGTTTATTATTTTATTATTTCCATTCTACGTGACTTTACCGAAAGAACCAAGAAGATGAAGACAATGTGTGTGTGTGTGCGCGTTCAACTTCTTTAGCACCGTACGCAACTCACCGTGCTAGTTGGAGGTGCGCGGAGCACCTCCACATTGACACTATGAGACACCTTCTTTACCAGTAGCAAAATATAGTGATAGGTTTTGACCATTTCAACTGGTACAAAACTGACACCTTTATACAAGGCATCATGTTTGCAATAACCGCAACACAAGCAGTCAAAATGCAAACAAAAAGAAACAACTCTGATAATGGTAATGATATGCACTGTCCTTGAAGTTGATTGATCCACACCAATCAACTCTGTTAGAGTGGACATCCAGTGGACATCCGTAAACCACTGGACATCTATAAGGAAATATCTTCACAGCTCATCGGATTCCTCCAGTGCGAACGTGAAGATTCTCATTCTGAAGTTGCTTTAAAACAACGGCCGACCCTAAACGAGCCACGACACGCGGTGACGCAGGCCATGATGTGCACCGCGCTCGCCACGAATGAACCACGCTTCCTTGCCGATCTCGTCAAGGAACATAAACCGCCAACGCGAACTCCGGACGTCACCGAAGATTTTGTTTCAGCCATTGAACAAAAGGCGGCGGCCACGGCACCGCGCGGTGCTTTCAGATGCGCTTTTGCGGCCGTCTGGAACGCCCTTCCTTCCGATATGAGGAAGCCACCGGAAACTAATTTATTTAGAACTGCTTGTTGTTGTTGTTGTTTAGTTCATTGTCTTTCCCCCGTACCTCCGATTAGCGCGGTTAGCTAAGTACGGTGCGCAAGAAGTCCAACATATATACCATCCAAAAACCCCCCTTAACCAGAGGTCGCAAACGGGTTTTGATTCCTTACCCGTACCCGGCCGCACCAGGGTCGCAAACGGCTACCCGTACTCTACCCGATACCCAGCTACCCGTACCTGGCCGGGTACGGGTAGGGTACGGGTATCTGGTACCCGATTGCGACCTCTGGGATGAAGCCATGTTGCAGGCGCGGGTGGGTTGATTCTAGGAACTTCAATTGTGAGAAGAGACAAGACGTTGGGAAATGAGTGACAAACGGTGACTCACCAGTGACTCACGGCCTACCCGTACCCGTACCCGGCCGCACCAGGGTCGCAAACGGGTACCTGTACCCGGCTGGGTACGGGTAGCCGGGTATCGGGTAGGGTACGGGTATAGGGTACCCGGTTGCGACCTCTGCCCTTAACAGACTGTAGGGGCAAGTGCTGTTAGCGAGTAGCACCTATGAAGGCTGGCACGGCACACGAGAGAGTGGGAGGCCAGCACCACGCCCGACCGCCTTTGTCTCCCCAGTGGCGATGTTTACTACACACCGCACCGGGTACTCATCTGAGGCCGAGTCGACCTAGGGGAGGCCCAGGAGCGGTTCAGAATAATCGTCACCGGCGTTGGTGGCCGTGAGCGGGACTCGGAGCGCGGCGCGCCAACCGCCTACGCTGATGCTCCCCACTACATACAACATACGTACAACACGCGTACAACATGCGTACGTGCCTGCCGCCCGCTGCCAGCGAATGACGCAAACGGTGAGCGTCCGTCACGGCTGCGGATCCATGTCGGTGGCGAAGGTCTGCAGGCACTTCTGCTGGTGCTCCCGCAACGTCTGCATGACCGCGGGACTGCGCAGCAGAGCCTGGGACAAGACAAGGAGCACACAAGTGACACAACAACTACAACATGAACAACGACGACATACGTTATGGGAACCTCATTTGCCAGTAAAAATATGATAATTGGTTTTTTACCCTTCTATCTGGCAACAAAACTGACACCTTCTTACAAGGAGTCATGTTTGCATAGACCGCAAAACCTGCAGTCATAATACAAACAAAAGACATAACTCTGATAATGTATGCACTGTCCTTGAAGTTGATTGGTCCACACCCGAGACAGCTTTCCTTAGAGCCTAGTCTCACATGGGTTGGACCAGATGACGCCAAAAGGCGCACAACTGCTTGCCCCGAGCTCTCATACTCTGATTGTGCGTTGTCTTTGAGTTGTGCGCCTTTTGGTGTCATCTGGTCAAACACCAATGGGGACTAGGCTCGAATTGAATAAGTTTAAACCGCCTCTCTATAAACTACGAGCTGTACTACCCGGCTTCACCCGGGACTTGAATTCACCATGCCCGGCCGCCTTTGTCTCCCCAGTGGCGATGTTAACACACCACAACAGTTACTCGTTTGAGGCTGAGTCGACCTAGGGGAGGCCCAGGACCGGTTCAAATAATCGTCATCGGTGGTGGCCGTGAGCGGGAATCGAACTCGGGTCGCCGGGTTCGTAGCGCGGCGCGCTACCTACTACACGACAATGCGTTACGCTCCCACGTGCGCTGGTCACGTGACAGATGTGACGTCACAGCTCACTTGCTGTGCAAAAAATAAATGCATTATTGAGCTCCCCCCTAAAAAAACTAAACAAAAGTGTATTATTATAATTTGTGCACGGTGTACAGTCTGGAAAGTACCCACACGGCAAATTTGCAGTTTGTTGCATGTCGGGAAGTACGCTAAACATTTTGAACAGACACACTTAATCACAAATTTGCCTTTTATAGATATGGAGATGGATATTTTACCAGGTAAGGCTGTGTAGCTATGTAGATATTTTTCAGAAGCGACCTGGCCGCAAATGATAGCTCAACGAGGTGGCTTATCGCGTGGAAATTTATAGCAGCCGCCAAATACTCTAAAATGCATTTTGCTAAATGGGGAGGGGAAAAAAATCCGAGGATCCGGAGAAAAATCCACGCGACCACGGGGGAGAGAGAGAGACACGCAAACTCCAAATGTACAGCAGCAGGCGTCAGGGTCGTGATCGAACCCACGACCTCCTGCACACCAGGCGAGGTAGTTAACATCTCCTAGCCACCGCGATGATGATGAGAGATAGAGACACGCAAACTCCAAATATACAGCAGGCGTCAAGGGTCGGAATCGAACCCACGACCTCCTGCATACCAGGCGAGGTAGTTAACATCTCCTAGCCACGACGATGATGATGACAGAGAGAGAGACACGCAAACTCCAAAAATACAGCAGGCATCAGGGTCGGGATCGAACCCACGACCTCTTGCACACCAGGCGAGGCAGTTAACATCTCCTAGCCACCGTGATGATGATGAGAGAGAGACACGCAAACTCCAAATATACAGCAGGCATCAGGGTAGGAATCGAACCCACGACCTCTTGCACACCAGGCGAGGCAGTTAACATCACCTAGCCACCACGGCACCCTCTTTGATTTCGTCTCGGATGCATTCCCGGCACGTTTGATTTCCATCGGCCACAACGAAAAAAACCTCTTGCGCGGGCGAAGAAAAAAAGGGTGCGATTCACATGGGGCCCATTGAATCAGTCCGTGCATTTTTGCCATTAGCTCAGGCAGGCTTAAATGACCCTCTGCCAAACAGGTGATTCACACTTGCAACACGTACGATCGTACGGGCCAAAATGATTACATACATTATGGTGGTGCAGCAGCATTTTGCAGGATGATGATACCTTCTAAGCTCAGGACATGGAGAGCTTTATTGACAGGCTCTTAAACCCGTCCGAACATGGCAGGGCAACGTGTACTTCGGGAAGCTCCAATTTTTTTAATCCTTTATATTAAGTTCACTTGCTTGCACGCTTACGACCGTGAAAATCTTTCGGTCGTTTTTTAACCCACTTCCCGTGATCCAATCGAGCTGACATTTTGCACACAGACTCGTTGTGCGTGACAATGTATTTTACACTTTTTAGGAAAAAATAAATTATATTTAATTACCAATTGCTTAATGGTGGCAGGCAATCATCTGACCCATAGGTGACAGCCATCTCAAGCCAGAGGACGAGAGGACTCTAGCCGCCACGCATATAAAGGATTTATAGTGAAAAACTTTGTTTTTACGGGTTAATTTTTCTTGGTTCTTTCAGTAAAGTCACGTAGAAGGGAAATAATAAAATAATATAAATATAAAACAATAAAAATTCTCACGACGTTTCGACTGCAACACAAGCAATCATCATCATGTGTGAAATCCACATAAAGAAAATTTGAACAAGTATAACCCGTAAAAACAAAGTTTTTCACTATACATCCTTTATATGCGTGGCGGCTAGAGTCCTCTCGTCCTCTGACTTGAGATGGCTGCCACCTATGGGTCAGATGATTGCATTGCACCATTAAGCAATTGGTAATTAAATAATATTTTTGTCCTAACAAGTGTAAAATTTAGGAACATTTTTTTCACGAACATTAATTGTCACGCACAACGAGTCTGTGTGCAAAATGTCAGCTCGATTGGATCACGGGAAGTGGGTTAAAAAACGACCGAAAGATTTGCACGGTCGTAAGCGCGCAAGCAAGCAAGCAAGCGAACTTAATATAAAGGATTTTAAAAAGTGGCGGTTGGTCCTAACGGTCAGCACCACGGACAGCGATTTGGCAATTGGTCAGATGAACGAGTCCATCTATGTTCGGAAAAGAGGAGGGGGGGGGAGAAGAAAATGTAATGCGGTCCGTAAGCGTGAACACAATCAATTAAGACCCGAAATGGTTGATCAAATCCTTCCAATGATTGCTGAGCCAGAATCCATCTTCTCGGTTGAAATTGTCTCTGTGTTCCGGGAGGGGGGCAGCGCGCGTGGTGGTCGCAGACACCCGCCTGCCCCCCCCCCCACCCCCCCAGGATTCGGTTTTCTACTCGTACCTAAAGAGGGCCCCCCCACGGCACCAAACTCGACCAGAAAACGTCGTTTGATTACCACGTGGAAAACACAGCCAGGTGCTGCAATTGTTTTTTTTTACAACACATTCGACCAGTGTTGAGTCGTGATATGGCCAACACGGGGGCGTGTAGCGTCGTATAGACAAGGCTCGATGACTGCAACTCGCTACTCAATGGGATGTCTGGGTGACTGGGTGACTGGGTGACTGGGTGACTGGGTTATTCTGTGCCTGGGTATTTGTGCCATTGTGTGCCTGAGTGACTTGGTGACTGGGTGATTGTGTGCCTGGGTGGATGGGCTACTGGCTGCCTAGGAATTTGGATATCTGGGTAATTGTGTGCTTGGGTGCCTGGGTGACTGGCTGCCTGGATATCTGGGTGATTGTGTGCCTGCATGCCTGGGTGACTGGGTGATTGGGTGATTGTGTGCCTGGGTGACTGGGTGACTGGGTGACTGGGTAATTGTGTGTCTGGGTGCGTGGGTGACTGGGTGCCTGGATATCTGGGTGATTGTGTGCCTGGGTGAATGGGTGACTGGCTGCCTAGGAATTTGGATATCTGGGTAATTGTGTGCTTAGGTGCCTGGGTGCCTGGGTATCTGGGTGATCGTGTGCCTGCGTGCCTGGGTGAATGGGTGACTGGGTAATTGTGTATCTGGGTGCCTGGGTAATTGTGTGCCTGGTTGACTGGCTGCCTGGATATCTGGGTGATTGTATGCCTGGGTGCCTGGGTGACTGGGTGACTGGGTAATTGTGTGCCTGCGTGCCTGGGTGAATGGGTGACTGGGTAATTGTGTGCATCGGTGACTGGCTGCCTGGGTGTCTGGGTGACCGTGTGCCTGAGTGACTGGGTGACTGGGTAATTGTGTGTCTGGGTGCCTGAGTGACTGGGTGACTGGGTAATTGTGTGTCTGGGTGCGTGGGTGACTGGCTGCCTGGGTGATTGTGTGCCTGGGTGACTGGGTGACTGGGTAATTGTGTGTCTGGGTGCCTGGGTGACTGGGTGATTGTGTGTCTGGGTGCGTGGGTGACTGGGTGACTGGGTAATTGTGTGTCTGGGTGCGTGGGTGACTGGGTGATTGTGTGTCTGGGTGCGTGGGTGACTGGGTAATTGTGTGTCTGGGTGCGTGGGTGACTGGCTGCCTGGGTGATTGTGTGCCTGGGTGAATGGGTGACTAGGTGATTGTGTGCCTGGGTGCCTTGGTGACTGACTGCCTGGGTGACTGGCTGCCTGGATATCTGGGTGACCGTGTGCCTGCGTGCCTGGGTGACTGGATAATTGTGTATCTGGGTGCGTGGGTGACTGGATATCTGGGTGACTGTGCGTGGGTGACTACGGTGTCACGAGCGTCCCGTGCAGGTCACGTGCCTGCCGTTTCTGGTTGAGCACGCACTCGAGCAGCGTCGCCTTGCGTCCAACGGGCGGCTCCTTGATGGGGGTGCCCCGTCGCTGCTGAGCTGTCGCCAGGTCCTTCTTGTCCTGGCAGCAGACACCACGCACGCCTCACTCAGTCACCCAGATATCCAGGCAGCCAGTCACCCACGCACCCAGTCACCCACGCACCCAGACACACAATTACCCAGTCACCCAGGCACCCAGACACACAATTACCCAGTCACCCAGTCACCCACGCACCCAGACACACAATCACCCAGTCACCCAGTCACCCACGCACCCAGACACACAATTACCCAGGCACACAATCACCCTTTGGGCGTCATCTGGTCCAACACCATGTGAGACTAGGCTCTAAGGAAAGCTGTCTCGGGTGTGGACCAATCAACTTCAAGGACAGTGCATACATTATCAGAGTTTTTTGTTTGCACTACCACTGCAGGTTTTGTGGTCTATGCAAACATAACTCCTTGTAAAAAAAAAAGGCGTCAGTTTTGTTGCCAGATAAAAGGGTAAAAAACCAATCATCAACAGTCCGAATATTCGAACCGGGTACTGGGCCTCCCCTAGGTCGACTCAGCCCCAAAGAAGCCAGCCTCCTAAACCACGGACCAACCTTGGCGGCGCCGCCGCTCGCTCCGCCAGCCGAGAAATTCTTCTTGGTCTTGAACTTGGCCTTGTACGCCTTGTTCTTGTGCTTCTTACACATCCACGCCGCGTGGTGGTGGTGGCTGCCGGTGGCGGTGAGCTGCCCGGCCTGCCGCGCGGAGCGAGCCGTCGTTTCGGCGCAGCCCTCGTACGAGCACCGTCGCAGCCTGGGCACCTCGTCCTTTGCGGCGTCCACCTCCTCCTCCTCCTCGTCGTCCTCCTCCCCTCCTCCTCCTCCGACTGTCACGTCCCCTTCGCTCGCGCTCCCCGGACTTTCGTGCGTTGCGTCGTCCGTGGACGCGGGATGCACTCCACCGCCCGGGCTCGCCGCTCCGCTCTGGTCCGAGCCGCTCTCGGAGACTCCTGCTGCTGCTGCTGCTCCTGCTGCTGCTCCTGCTGCTGCTCCTGCTGCTGCTGCTGCGCTCATGGTTGGGGGTACGGCCCTGCGACACGAGTGGGCCACGTGTCAACATTTGTCGCTCGATGAAAGGGGGCGACGACACCACGGGGCTTCGCTGAACACGTGGGCGCATTTGCGGGAAAAGGAAGCCGTTGCCGCCTGCTGCCTGCCAAAGATTTTTTGAGTCCGGGCTTTCTCCCCCCCCTTCCCCCCTAATCTTTAATGATTCGCAATGGAGTGGTCTGATGGTTTTTAACAAAAACACGCGGACACTATATATATGCAACAAAAAAAACCTGGTCTCTTTGGAAAATAATGAATCGTGGCGTTTTACCTGCTTATATGAGGGGACGTTTCAGGACACCTTGGTCTGATGTAGACAAACCGTACACGCCAATTATTCAGCAAAGGCATTAATGCAGCGGTGACACATTGACCTCTGAAAACGTCTCGTGCGCCAAATAAAATTGCCAAATGACGGTGGCCATTGAAAGTGCTGATCTCACGTAAAGTAAAACAAGTATAACCCGTAAAAACAAAGTTTTTCACTATAAATCCTTTATATGCGTGGCGGCTAGAGTCCTCTCGTCCTCTGACTTGAGATGGCTGCCACCTATGGGTCAGATGATTGCATTGCACCATTAAGCAATTGGTAATTAAATATAATATTTTTGTCCTAAAAGGTGTAAAATTTTGGAAAAAATTTTTTACGAACATTAATTGCCACGCACAACGAGTCTGTGTGCAAAATGTCAGCTCGATTGGATCACGGGAAGTGGGTTAAAAAACGACCGAAAGATTTGCACGGTCATAAGCAAGCAAGTGAACTTAATATAAAGGATTTTTAAAAAAACGACATCCCCATGATGGCACGTATTAGGGGTTCCATTCGTAGCTACTAATATTTCTACCCAAACTTTTTTTTTCCTCCTTCCCCAGGACACTAATGGGGACGTCCGCTGCGTCGCCTGGGAGCCAATTTGCCAGGAGAGCCAGACGATGGAGGGACAGGGGCGAGGGTGAAAAGCGGACGGAACAACACAACGAGTCTCAAGGGGCTGGGCAACCCACAGCCACCAAGAAAAATTCGCATCGATCTTTGGAAAAGAAACTCCCCGGGCTCACAAACACAAAGATCAAAGATCCCCCGTATAGCCTTAATATACTGCTGGGGCAAGTGCTGTTAGCGAGCACTTATGAAGGCCGGCACGGCACACGAGGGGGTGGGTGGCCAGCACCACGCCCGACCGCCTTTGTCTCCCCAGTGGCAATGTTTACACACCGCACCGGGTACTCATTTCAGGCTGAGTCGACCTAGGGGAGGCCCAGGACCGGTTCAGATAATCGTCACTGGGTGTTGGCCGTGAGCGGGAATCGAACCCGGGTCGCCAGGTTCATAGCGCAGCGCGCTAACCGCTGCACTACCGCTCCCCACAAACACACACACACACGTGCACATACGAGTAAATGTTATGCAGTCTACTCTTAGTCTTAAGCCTCACCTTACCATATTAATAAAAAAGTGTGCCGTTCCTGGCCCTTTCCCCCTCAACCATTATATATACGGAGTGGTAGCTCTTGTAATCTCTCATTTACTTAATACAGCTGTCGTGGCTGTGACGGTTCCACCTGAAGACGGAAGCTTGTGTTGCTTCCGAAACGTCGTGATTTTTATTTTATTTTTATTAATTTGAATGTTTTACCTACGTGACTTTACCGGAAAAAAAAACCTAAGAATATGAATCCTTGCAGTCACGAAAGCTTCAAATCTAGAATTATCACTAAGGAGTTCAGGACCTGTGGCTTCAGTGAAAATTTCTCTAAATCTTTTTATTAATTTAAAAAATAATTTTTACCTACGTGACTTTACCGGAAAAAAAACCTAAGAGTATGGCCAGCTTCCGTGCGCGACAACGCACGGGCGAGACTTGGGTTTCGATCGGACGCCGCAATTACTTTGCCGAACGATCTCACCGTCTCGAAGAGCCAACAGCCGGAGAATCCGCGCCTTGGGGGTTGATCTTCCACGAAGCCGCTCACAGATCCGTCCTAAATCGCATCAACCACGGCACAAGCCGTAGAGGCAGTCGACGCGGATGCCCTGGTGATGCACAAAATGGAAAATTCAAAACTCTCCGTTAGCAGTGTGGCGACTGCACTTGCTGTCAACCTCCTGTCACCTTGTTACAGATAAATTCAGATCGTGTTGGTCACCACGTGTCTCTTATACATCCCAACGTTCATCCTAAAACGTGCCATCACAAGGGCAGAAACACAAACAAATAGACAATCACCACTACTACACTCACCACTAGTATACTCACCACTACACTCACTAGTACACTCACCACTAGTACACTCACCACTAGTACACTCACCACTAGTACACTCACCACTACACTCACCACTAGTACAATCACTACTACACTCACCACTACACTCACCACTAGTACACTCACCACTAGTACACTCACCACTAGTACAATCACTACTACACTCACCACTACACTCACTACTAGTACACTCACCACTAGTACACTCACCACTACACTCACCACTACACTCACTAGTACACTCACCACTAGTACACTCACCACTACACTCACCACTACTACACTTACCACTACACTCACCACTACACTCACCACTACACTCACCACTAGTACACTCACCACTAGTACAATCACCACTACACTCACTACTAGTACACTCACCACTAAACTCACCATTACACTCACTAGTACACTCACCACTACACTCACTAGTACACTCACCACTACTACACTCACCACTACACTCACCACTACACTCACCACTACACTCACCACCACTACACTCACCATTACACTCACCACTACTACACTCACCACTACACTCACCACCACACTCACCACCACACTCACTACCACACTCACCACCACACTCACCACTACACTCACCACCACCACACTCACCACTACACTCACCACTACACTCACCACCACCACACTCACCACTATACTCACCACTACACTCACCACTACACTCACCACCACTACACTCACCACTACACTCACCACTACACTCACCACCACTACACTCACCACTACACTCACCACTACACTCACCACTACACTCACCACCACTACACTCACCACTACACTCACCACTACACTCACCACCATCACACTCACCACTACACTCACCACTATACTCACCACTACACTCACCACCACTACACTCACCACTACACTCACCACCACTACACTCACCACTACACTCACCACCACTACACTCACCACCACTACACTCACCACTACACTCACTAGTACACTCACCACCACTACACTCACCACTACACTCACCACCACTACACTCACCACTACAAACCTGTCAACCCCTTATCAGTACCCTACCTTATTACAGACCAACTCAGAACCAATATCCCCGTTCCCTTGGTTACCAAGGTCCCCGTTCCCCTGGTTACCAAGGTCCCCGTTCCTTTGGTTACTGAGGTCCCCGTTCCCGTGGTTACTGAGGTCCCCGTTCCCCTGGTTACCCAACCACACCTCAGATTACCACGGTCGGCTACGTACGGTGCGAAAGAAGTCACCGCATATTCTTGGTTCTTTCGGTAAAGTCACGTAGATAGCTTCAAATAAAAATAACAACAAAAAATAACAAAAAACCCCACGACGTTTCGATATTTGTTCTTGGTTCTTTCGGTAAAGTCACGTAGAAGGGAAATAATAAAATAATAAAAATAAAACATAATAAAATAATTCTCACGACGTTTCGGCCACAACGCAAGCGGCCGTCCTCAGGTGAAGAACAGGTCTGTCGGAAAGACAGCGTCTGAATGGACCCATTTATTTAATATTTTTCATTCATTCAGACGCTGTCTCCCCGACAGACCTGGTCTTCACCTGAGGACGGCTGCTTGCGTTGTGGCCGAAACGTCGTGAGAATTATTTTATTATGTTTTATTTTTATTATTTTATTACTTCCCTTCTACGTGACTTTACCGAAAGAACCAAGAAGATGAATCCCTGCAGTCACGAAAGAAGCTTTAAATCGAAATTTTATTATGTTTTATTTTATTATTTTATTATGTTTTATTTATATTATTTTATTATGTTTTATTTTTATTATTTTATTATGTTTTATTTATATTATTTTATTATGTTTTATTTTTATTATTTTATGTTTTATTTTTATTATTTTATTATGTTTTATTTTTATTATTTTATAATGTTTTATTTTTATTATTTTATTATGTTTTATTTTTATTATTTCATTATTTCCCTTCTACGTGACTTTACCGAAATAATCAAGAAGATGAATCCCTGCAGTCACGAAAGAAGCTTTAAATCGCAACACAAGCGGTCTTCTTCAGTAAATAAGGGCGAAAATATAAAAAAGAACCTGCACTCACGAAAGCTTCCAAGCCACTAAAGTTACCGTATCGTGCAGCACACAATTACGGATTAAATAATTATCGTGTTGGCGAAAGAGTACAGAACACACAAACTCTTTGGTTATTTCATTAAAGGCACGTAGGTATACAATCTAATAAATAAAATGTAAAAATAAAATAAATTAAATGTAATGTATTGATTTTATTACGACGTATTGATCCCTGAAATCACGAACACTAACACATCTCGCCGAGTTATCGATTTGAGGCTGAGGCGACCTAGGCGGAGGCCCAGGAACCGATTCAGAGAATTATCGACAACCTGATTATCGGTGGGAATCGAACTCGGGCGCTAACCGCTGCACCACCGCTCCCACAAAGACAAAGATCCCCCGTGTAGCCTGTGGCGATGTTTACTTATCGATTTGAGGCTGAGGCGACCTAGGCGGAAGCCCAGGAACCGGTTCAAGAGAATTATCGACAACCTGGTTATCGGTGGGAATCGAACTCGGGCGCTAATCGCTGCACCACCGCTCCCACAAAGACAAAGACCCCCCGTGTAGCCCGTAACAGACTGCTGGGGCAAGTGCCCAGCAACCGAGCCCGACCGTCTTTGTCTCCCTCGGCAACGATGCTGGTTACGTACCGCGCCAGGTCCTCGTTTGAGGCCGAGGTGACCTAGAGGGAAGAGAGGCGGGGGGAGCCCCGGTTCACGCGCACTGTACCGCGTACTGTACAGCGTACTGTACCACGCACTGTCCCGCGCACTGTACCGGGAACTGTACTCACTGTACCCTCACTGTAGTCAACGTACCCCGCACTGCCCTCTCACTGTACCACTCACTGTACCCTTCACTGTACCACTCACTGTACCCTTCACTGTACCACTCACTGCACCCTTCACTGTACCACTCACTGTAACCCTCACTGTACCACTCACTGCACCCTTCACTGTACCACTCACTGTACCCTTCACTGTACCACTCACTGTACCCTTCACTGTACCACTCACTGCACCCTTCACTGTACCACTCACTGTACCCTTCACTGTACCACTCACTGTACCCTTCACTGTACCACTCACTGTCCCCCTCACTGTACCACTCACTGTAACCCTCACTGTACTCACTGTCCCCTCACTGTACCCGCCACTGTACCCCTCACTGTACCCGACACTGTACCCCTCACTGTACCTGCCACTGTACCCCTCACTGTACCCGCCACTGTACCCCTCACTGTACCCGCCACTGTACCCCTCACTGTACCTGCCACTGTACCCCTCACTGTACCCGCCACTGTACCCCTCACCGCCCCCGCACTGTCATCCTCACTGTACCCGCACTGCCCCCTCACTGTCACCCTCACTGTACCACGCACTGTACTCACTGTACCCTCACTGTCCCCCTCACTGTACCCTCACTGTACCCGCACTGTACTCACTGTACCCGCACTGTACTCGCCTGGGGGTGTCGCGCGCGCGACCCACGTGGATTCGCGACTCACGCCGGCACGGAGCTTCTCCACTTGGTTGTCGACACGCAGATTCGCAGTCAAAGCACCACCCCCCCCCTCCCCACTCATCAATAAATTCCCTTACAGTTACTTCACGTCCGCAAACACAAAATCGTGCGCGTTTAAAATCGGCGTCTTCGTAAGAGGCAAACATCGGCGGAAGTTTAATTTTTAGTTTTTAAATTTAAATTTTGTAATTTCTCTCTCGCGAATGTGCGCGTCGCGAAACCCGCGGACGAGTTCCCGTTGTTCCGCTGTGCGTTTTTGCTCCGTTCATGGACACGTTAAAGCATCTGGGATGGTTCGTTTTGCTGCGATTATTGCATTTTTATCATCATAATCATCATCATTATCATCGTCGTTGCGTACACACAATGTGCAACTGTGCATCGTACACATGTACGCTGTTTGCGTGATGAACACAGAGTTTTTATTGCATGTGCAGTGTAACACAGCTTAACAAACGGTGTCTACACACATACAATGAGTTTGTGTCAAAGTTGGTGTGTGTGGATTGTGTTAAATCTACACACACGATTTGTACTCGTACATGCTGTGCTTGTGTGTAAGATATACACGCTTATACTGCACTCAACATGCATATACTATACATTACACAATGTGTACACACTACTATACATTACACAATGTGTACACACTACTACACATTACACATACTGTGTACACACTACTACACGTTACACATACTGTCTACACACTACTACACGTTACACATACTGTCTACACACTACTACACACTACACAATGTCTACACACTACTATACATTACACACACTGTCTACACACTACTACACGTTACACACACTGTCTACACACTACTACACACTACACATACTGTCTACACACTACTACACACTACACATACTGTCTACACACTACTACACATTACACATACTGTCTACACACTACTACACACTACACATACTGTCTACACACTACTACACATTACACACACTGTCTACACACTACTACACATTACACATACTGTCTACACACTACTACACACTACACATACTGTGTACACACTACTACACACTACACATACTGTCTACACACTACTACACATTACACACACTGCTACACTACTACTAACACTACACATACTGTCTACAACACTACTACACACTACACAGGACTGTCTACACACACTACACATTACACATCCTGTCCTACACACTACTACACACTACACATACTGTCTACACACTACTACACACTACACATACTGTCTACACACTACTACACACTACACATACTGTCTACACACTACTACACACTACACATACTGTCTACACACTACTGACACACTACACATACTGGTCTACACAACTACTACACACTACACATACTGTCTACACACTACTACACACTACCACACTGTCTACACACACTACACACTACACATACTGTCTACACACTACTACACACTAACATAACAGCTTTCTAACACATACTACAACACTACACATCTTCTCCACTACTACACCTACACATACTGTCTACCACTACTACACACTAACACTACTGTCTCACACTACTACACATTACACACTGTCTACACACTACTACACATACACACACTGTCTACACACGACTACACCACTACACATACTGTCTACACACTACTACACACTACACATACTGTCTACACACTACTACCACTACACATACTGTCTACACACTACTACACATTACAACACAACGGGTCCTACACACTACTACACACTACACTACTGTCTACACAACGACTAGCAACACTTACAACATACTGTCACACACTACTACACACTACACATACTGTCGTACACACTACTACACACTACACATACTGTCTACACACTACTACACACTACACATACTGTCTACACCTACTACACACTACACATACTTTCTACACACTACTACACACTACACATACTGTCTACCACTACTACACACTACACACTACTGTCTACACACTACTACACACTACACATACTGTCTACACACTACTACACACTACACATACTGTCTACACACTACTACACACTACACACACTGTCTACACACTACTACACACTTACTACCCATTACACACACTGTCCTACACACTACTACAACACTACACATACTAGTCTAAACTACTACTAACACCTTACACAGACTGTCTACACACTACTACACATTACACACACTGTCTAAACACTTACTACACACGATACACATAACTGTCTCACACTAACATACATCACTACACATACTGTCTACACACTACTACACATGACACCACACTGTCTACACACTACTACACATTACACATACTGTCTACACACTACTACCACATTACACATACTGTCTACAACACTACTACACATTACAACACCCTGTCTACACACTACTACACACTACACATACTGTCTACACACTACTACACATTACCAACTGTCTACACACGACTACACATTACACACTGTCCTACACACTCACTACACATTACACATACTGTCTACACACTACTACACATTACACACACTGTCTACACCTACTACACACTACTAACCTACACATACTGTCCTACACACTACTACACATTACACACACTGTCTACACACTACGACACATTACACATACTGTCTACACACTACTACACATTACACATACTGTCTACACACTACTACACATTACAACATACTGTCTACACACTACTACACACTACTACACACTACACATACTGTCTACACACTACTACACATTACACACACTGTCTACACACTACTACACATTACACATACTGTCTACACACTACTACACATTACACATACTGTCTACACACTACTACACATTACACATACTGTCTACACACTACTACACACTACACATACTGTGTACACACTACTACACACTACACATACTGTCTACACACTACTACACATTACACACACTGTCTACACACTACTACACATTACACATACTGTCTACACACTACTACACAATACACATACTGTCTACACACTACTACACATTACACACACTGTCTACACACTACTACACATTACACACACTGTCTACACACTACTACACATCACACACACTGTCTACACACTACTACACATTACACATACGGTCTACACCTACTACACATTACACACTACTGTCTACACACTACTACACATTACACATACTGTCTACACACTACTACACACTACACATACTGTCTACACACTACTACACACTACACATACTGTCTACACACTACTACACACTACACACACTGTCTACACACTACTACACACTACACACACTGTCTACACACTACTACACATTACACATACTGTCTACACACTACTACACATTACACACACTGTCTACACACTACTACACACTACACACAATGTCTACACACTACTACACATTACACATACTGTGTACACACTACTACACACTACACATACTGTCTACACACTACTACACACTAAACACACTGTCTACACACTACTACACATTACACATACTGTGTACACACTACTACACACTACACATACTGTCTACACACTACTACACACTACACATACTGTCTACACACTACTACACACTACACATACTGTCTACACACTACTACACACTACACACACTGTCTACACACTACTACACATTACACATACTGTCTATACACTACTACACATTACACATACTGTCTATACACTACTACACACTACACATACTGTCTACACACTACTACACATTACACATACTGTCTACACACTACTACACATTACACATACTGTCTATACACTACTACACATTACACACACTGTCTACACACTACTATACACTACACATACTGTCTACACACTACTACACATTACACATACTGTCTACACACTACTACACATTACACATACTGTCTATACACTACTACACATTACACACACTGTCTACACACTACTACACATTACACATACTGTCTACACACTACTATACATTACACACACTGTCTACACACTACTATACATTACACACACTGTCTACACACTACTACACATTACACATACTGTCTACACACTACTACACACTACACATACTGTCTACACACTACTACACACTACACATACTGTCTACACACTACTATACATTACACACACTGTCTACACACTACTACACACTACACATACTGTGGTACACACTACTACACACCCTACACATACTGTCTACACACTACTACACATTACACATACTGTCTATACACTACTACACACTACACATACTGTGTACACACTACTACACACTACACATACTGTCTACACACTACTACACATTACACATACTGTCTACACACTACTACACATTACACATACTGTCTACACACTACTATACATTACACATACTGTCTACACACTACTATACATTACACATACTGTCTACACACTACTACACATTACACATACTGTCTACACACTACTACACATTACACATACTGTGTACACACTACTACACACTACACATACTGTCTACACACTACTACACACTACACATACTGTCTACACACTACTACACATTACACACACTGTCTACACACTATTACACACTACACATACTGTCTACACACTACTATACATTACACATACTGTCTACACACTACTACACATTACACACACTGTCTACACACTACTACACATTACACACACTGTCTACACACTACTACACATTACACATACTGTCTACACACTACTACACATCACACATACTGTCTACACACTACTACACATCACACATACTGTCTACACACTACTATACACTACACATACTGTCTACACACTGCTACACATTACACATACTGTCTACACACTACTACACATTACACACACTGTCTACACACTACTACACATTACACACACTGTCTACACACTACTACACATTACACACACTGTCTACACACTACTATACATTACACATACTGTCTACACACTACTACACATTACACATACTGTCTACACACTACTACACACTACACATACTGTCTACACACTACTATACATTACACATACTGTCTACACACTACTACACATTACACATACTGTCTACACACTACTACACATTACACATACTGTCTACACACTACTACACATTACACATACTGTCTACACACTACTATACATTACACATACTGTCTACACACTACTACACACTACACATACTGTCTACACACTACTATACATTACACACACTGTCTACACACTACTACACACTACACACACTGTATACACACTACTATACATTACACACACTGTCTACACACTACTA